TGAAAATTTTGATTTATTCGACAAATATTCAAAACTCGATAAACTCAAAAGAATTATAGGGTACATTGTAAGATTCAAAAATAGAACATTAAATAAGATAATAAAATCTGGAGAAAGTTTAAGTGTTTCAGAGTTAAATGAGGCTAATTTGATTTTAATTAGAGTCGCTCAAAATGCGGCATTTAAACAAGAAATATCAGATCTTAATAAAGGTAAACAAATAAGTAGTAGTAGTCCTATTTTAAGTCTTCATCCTTTTCTCGATCAAAGCAAAGTTTTAAGAGTTGGTGGCAGACTGACTCACGCAGTACATTTAAATTATGACCAGCAACACCCTGTAATTTTGCCATATAAAAGTCGTATCACGGAACTGATAGTTTTAGATGAGCATTTGTACAATATTCACGCGGGATGTCAAACATTACTCTCCATCATAAGACTAAAATATTGGCCTATCAAGGGTAAGAATATAGTTAAGAAAGTAATTAAATCATGCGTCAGATGTACTAGAGCCAACCCTAAACCCGGTAATTTTTTAATGGGAGATCTACCTCTTAATCGTGTCACGCCTAACCGACCTTTCAGTAGCGTAGGTGTAGATTATGCCGGACCTATTTATGTTAAAGAAAACACGTCTCGTCGTAGTAGACTCGTAAAAACATATGTGTGCGTATTTGTATGTTTTGCAACTCGAGCTATTCATATCGAGTTGGCTTGCGATTTATCGACAGATAGCTTTCTTCATTGTTTAAAACGATTCTGTGCTCGTCGAGGAAAACCTATCAATATTTACTCAGATAACGGGTTAAATTTCGTTGGCAGCAACAATTATTTTCTTGAGCTTCAAGAATTAATAAATAGTCCATCACACGAAAAAAGCGTTAAAAATTTCTTAGCACCCGATAAAATTAACTGGAGCTTCATTCCCGCTCGTTCAGCTCATATGGGCGGCCTGTGGGAAGCAGCAGTAAAGTCCCTGAAGTTTCACTTGAAGCGAGGCTTGGGAAACGCAAATTTAACCTATGAAGAAACGTATACATTGTTAGTACAGATCGAGGCTGTACTAATCGAGGCTGTACTAAACTCTCGTCCTATCACCCCATTGTCCAATGACTTAAACGATTTTCAACCCCTTTGTCCTTCTCACTTCCTCATCGGGAGCTCTCTCTTACTACCACCTGATGAAGACGTCAGAGACATAAAAATGAACCGTTTGACCCGATACCAACGATTAAAGCAAATATTCCAGCATTTCTGGGACCGATGGTCTTCGGAATATCTGTCCACTCTACAAAATCGATCCAAATGGAAAAAAGAGACAGTCGATGAAATAAAAATCGGATCGATGGTTGTCCTAGTAGAGGACAACTTGCCTCCCCTCAAGTGGTCAATGGCACGTGTGGTGCAGCTTCACCCTGGTTCCGATCACATTACTAGGGTAGTGTCAGTTCGCCTACCAAGCGGAGCAGTTACAAAAAGATCGTTGAAGAAGATATGCTTTTTACCAACAGAATAAAGACTTATAACTATATAAACTATTTAACTGTCAGCAGTGTTGCAAACATTTCAAGTGTGTCAAGTGTTAAACTTTCATTTCGAAAACTTAAAACTTTTCAACGGGGGCGATATGTTTGGACATTCAAATCTATTTGAACATTCAAATCAAATTTCTTATATCAGACTGTTATATTGAACAAAAGTGTAGCAACATTCTTAAACATGGCAACGCCGTAATAAACCTAGCAACTCAAAAGGATCTGGCAACGCGCAAGAACAGCTGCAGGAAGAACGGCAAACGACCAATAGGATGGCTCAGCGCGACCAATAGGATCGCTCGGCGCGACCAATAAGAAGAGACGGATTCGAGAGCATGTCACGACATCACGTTGTTATTGTTTGACTAATAATCAATTAAAAATTCGTTTTGTACCGCAATAAATGGTTAATCAATTAAAGTATTAATTCTCGTTAATGTGTTTGGGTTCCCTTTGACCTATAATAAAGGGTGGTCCTTCGAAAGTCCTCAACAGAGGATCAAGATGCGTGTATAACAGTAAGTATATGTGTTATGTGTATGTACACATACCTACATTAATGTCGATGGTTTCCATTCGCATCAACGCGCATGCTCGTAAATAACACAGTATCGTAGTATAGGGTGATTCAAAAAGCGCACCAGATTTGAATTGCTCGAAAAAGAGTTTTGGCATGCCATCAAAGTAGAGGAGGCCATGCCCTTTGTCATTTTCCATACCCAGATGGAGAAGGTTTGATCCAACCGGTTCATCTTAATTCTAAAGATATTTTAAAAAAAATAGAGCTCCTTTTTTAATGTATTAAATCTGGCGCGCTTTTTTGCTCTATATAGGGTGAATACAGGGTATTTTTTAAGTTATTTAACTTAAAAAAATACAGGAGTTTTCCAAATAATATTTTCTCGACAGCTCAAAAATAAAAGAGATAGGTATGTTCATTTCAAATAATATCAAAAATCAAATATTTTAATAATTATATTTTTCAAAATACAAAAGGTAAAACTCTTGAATTTAATCTTTTTCTTTCCAGAAATCTGTCTCTTTACGCAGATAACGTGGGTGGTAAGTTTTGAAATGAAAACTCTGTACATATTTACGTATAATATGCATAAGGCTATTTTCGAAATTCTCGAATGTAGGGCTGAGAAATCTTACCTCTTTAGGACAATGTGACCATTCAATTGTAGTTATATTTACCAAACTACAGTAAAAAAATCAACTGGTTATAAGTCGTTTTTTATGAGCCAGTAATTGCTACATTTTTGAGAAAGGGCTCACTGAAGACCAAACCATTTATTTTGTGGCTCAAATCGAATTTCGAATTATTTATAAAATTATCTCATTATTTACCTGAAAAATTAACTGTTAACTGTTAATAATTACATTTGCATAATCACCTAATCAAGGTATTTTACATGTGCTCACTAGTGCTCACTCTAGTAGCTACTACTTTTGCAACTTTTCACAATAGAAAAGTTAGGCGTATTATCAATACGAAGATGCTCGAGAAGATTAAGCCGGTGTCCGGTGATTGATGATTAAAGTATTACCGTGAAGTCGACAACTTTTGAGTGTAGGACTGGAGAAATGTAGGTACCTCTTTATTTGTAGGACAGTGTAACCATTTAATTGTAGTAATATTTACTAAGCTACATTAAAAAAATCAACTGGTTATAAATCATTTTTTATGTAACGTATCTGCTACATGTTTGAGAAGGGAGACAGCCTAGATCAAAACATTTATTTTGTCGGACAAATGTTGTTTCATATTATTTATGAAACTATCTCAACATTCAGCTACAAAATTAACTGTTATTATTTACATTTGTATGATCACCAAATAGACATGTTTTCCACCTGCGCACTCTGTTAGCTACCTGTTTTTGGAATTTTCGCAACAGAAAATTTGGACGTCTTATCAAAATGAAGATACTCACGAAGATTTAGCCGGTTATTAATGAAAAAAGTTAAATCGTGAAATCGCCAACTTTTGAGTGTAGGACTGAAAATAGCTACCTGTTTATTTGTAGGACAGTGTGACCTTTTAATTGTAATAATATTTACCAACCTACATTGAAAAAATCAACTTGATATTAATCATTTTTTATGCAACGTAATTGCTACATGTTTGAGGGGGGGGACATCGTAGACCAAACCCTTTATTTTGTCGGACAAATGTTGTTTCAAATTATTCATAAAATTATCTCAACATTTAGCTGAAAAACTTACTGTTATTAATTAAATTCTCATAGTCACCAAATCGACATGTTTTACACCTGCGCAGTATGTTAGCTACCTGTTTTCGCAATTTTCGAAGAGAAAAAAGTTGGGCGTCTCGGTGAAATGAAGCTGCATTGAAAAAACTAGCTTGTTATTAATGATTTGGAAAAAAGGTCCTCGGCCCCCGGACTATCAGCTATAACACGCAATATGGATCCAACTATACGATAAGCTATTTCAGTTAGCTTATAACCTCTATAAATTCTTATTTTCGGGAATAATGTGCTAATGTGTCAACTTCTGGGACCCTGTCAACAACTGGGTACTTTACCTTAAGATTTAAAATGTGTTCATTATTTCATAGAGTTTACTAAACCTCGGAGCGGTTGATTGGTCAAAGTCGAGGGGCGGTTCACTCCTTGAAATTCGTACACCGATTCAAAATCACCCCGAGATTTTTACTGATTTTGAGATTTATCAACTGATTAACCAAGATTTATTCTTTTGAATTGATTTATGGAGATTTACAAATATATGTAGCTGATTTAGTAAAATTTAAACTGATTTAATAGGATTTAAGCTGATTTATAATGATTTTAGGTGATAAAAAAAGATTTGTAGTGATTCACAGTGATTTATCATGATTTTGCGTTGGATTTATGGAGATTTAAACTGAATTATAGGTATGATCTACAATTTCTCATCGTTTGCTTGTCAATATATGTATCTGATGTTTTACCATTGAGCAGATAACTTATTATTCTGCTTTATAGTAAGACAATAATTATCATAAACTGCCCTGCATCATTTTTATTTCCAATTTATTTAAAAAATGAGGTGACCTAGGAATTACATTTTGGAAAATTATTAGAAAAATGTAAATTTCAAGAAATATTTTCCTTAAATGAATAACTGTCAACAAAGAGGACTTGTTTCTATAAAACATAATAATAAATGTAATCATATTATGTAAGATATGAGAAAAAAATATTGGTCTGGAAGGGAAAACTTTATGTTTATTTAACAGTTTATTAGACACAGAGTTTCATATCTTTATAATTTTTTTCTATTTTGTTTTTGTCCATTCTTTTTAGTATGAAGGGATCATTGCCACACAAATCAATTGGACCATAAAATACAAATTTTTTCTCTACAACTTGAACGTCTTTGACTTTTGGCCAAACAAACCTTTCCAAATCTTGTTTTAGAAATTTTATAAGTATAGTTTCTTCGGTTTCATCCTTATTATCATTTTGATTCTTGTCTTGACATATAACTCGCCCCAAAAACCATCCTATGTCATAAAATACAGCATAGTATTTTTCAACTTCTATTTGCACTTTATTTTCTTTCTTAGTTTCTTCTTCATCACTTCTTTCGTCTTCGTTAAAATATTCTGAATCATCTGAGCTATGGTCATGCAATGAAATATCTGAAGTTTCTTCCGAAGAGCATTCTTTATTTCTCCTTAGTTTCTTTCTTTTTCCGAGACTTCTTTTATTTGCGATTCTTTGCCTGGATTTTTTTTGATGGATTTTTCTCTCTTTTTTTAATTTTTTTTGTGATTGAGGGGTTCCTCTCACCCGTAATAAGCGGTCGCTACTCAGTTTTGAGGATGAATTTTGAAAAAGCCAACATAACGAATATTTTTTGACTGTCATTGTCTTTCCAGAATTTAGTGTGACCTTCAAGAACGCTGATTTCGAGGCTGATGTTTCTGTTGACATTTGGGTTTTCTCTTCGTTTGGGTGAGTAAAGTCTTTTAAATTCAGTGTTCCTTGTGAGGAAAAGATATCCTTCATAAGATTAACATCTTCCACATCTTTGAGATCCGAATCGTTAATGATATTGTCCTCGTGTTTCTGATCTTCGACTTCTACAAATAAAATTAAAAGTGTATATTTCAAAAATCAAATTAGACTAAAAGTCACGATAAAAGTTATATTGCGATGATATTTACCATTTTCCCGAGCATTTTCCTCATCACTTCCAGGCTCTTCATCAAGATTGAGGTCTTTATTAAGTTTTAAAATGGGCCAATGTTTCACTGCCTACTTGAATTTCCATATCCAAAAATGTAGTTTTAACGTAATCGACAGCTTCATGAATAATGCTTCCAATTTCTGTTTCTGTGGGTAAAGATTCCTATGCTGACTTGGTATTATAACCAAGTTTCTTGTTCTCTCTTGCAAATTTATAGCCTTCTAAAATAAGAATTATGTTATTATTAAGTTACTGCTGCCAAATTAAAGCACTTTACCTGTATCTTGAGAAATTTTACTAATCAACTCAGTTCTCGTAAGTCGGTGTAGAACTTTGAATAAAGAAAAGTTCACCACGGTGGAAAATGTGCTGGTTAATGATCTCAATTCCCGAAATTTTTTTTCACACGGCTGGCTACTAAGTAACCATGGATAGAATTTGTTAATTGGACTGTCTCGACATCTCCTCACATATTCCACCAGTGCATGTGCGTTCAATTCAATGCAGGTATAGCAATTGAGGGTAATAAAATTCTTGGTTAAAGAAGCATCATTATCATTTGACACGATATATCGCCAGATACGGAAAAATAAAGTAGATATCCACATTTTATATATTCTTTCGATTGGAGTCAATTCCTTGCTTAAAAATGCGTCCAGTAGAAACCGGGATATTCTTAGAAATGCTATTGTTCCTTTTGAATCGGGAATATTATTCTTCAATGCTTCAACTACTTTTTCCTGAGTCATTTTGTCAAAGCTATCAAAGTTCATTTTATCTGTTGGATTGAGAGTTGAGTATGTAAGGCTATGCCGAGGGCTATGCTTATCTTTGGAAACTGTATCAATCAGATTTTTAAGATGTTCACTCGAAACCTTATATTTCCCTATGCGTAGTTCTACGGAAGGCTTTAAAAACACTATTTTTAACTTGGTTCCAATGGGCATCATAATTTGCAAAAAACCAATCTGAGTCAGAAAAAGTAGGAAGTCCGCTCCTGCTTTTCATAACTTTTAACATTCTACAGTCTCCATCAGTTGAAAATCCTTCAATTGTGATGCCTTGTTCCTGAGCCAGTTCTTGAATTTTATTCCATCTCCTTTCCACATCTTCTGATGAAAACTTGTTGTTAGTTCCATAGACACATAAGCAGAATCCAAAGGCCTTATCAACCAGAGGTTGGCAAATAATGATGTTTATATAGTTAGATTTTGCTTCATTTTCAAAGTATTGTTCTAATTGTTTAAGCGTATCAAAAGGAAAATTATTCAGTACTGGAAATCTACTTTCATCTAATGGAGGAGTAAATCCAACAAGCTGATTGTTTTTTGGTGAATACTGTATTTTACTATTGATAGCTGTTTGATCCTCACTTAACCATATATTCAATGGGTACTTATGATCTGTAAGGTATGCTTTCAATGCTGAGAATCGGAATAAACCTTCTTCAATTGTTTGGTTATCAACTACCCTTTTTCGGATTGTTGAGGGGCTTGGCATAATATTTCTTAGATTTAGGTGAAGAGTTTCATACATCAATTTTCCGCCGGTTAAATATAACCATATGCAAAAGTCTTTAAAGTTAGTCTCATATTTTCTTCCTCTGTACTCACAATGCTTGGTTTTGTTCTCAATGAGGGCCTGGAAAAAAGTCGATATATTTGAATCATCAGAAACGTCTATGTTTAAAATACTCAGTGTTTTTCTGTAATCATTATTTTCAGAAACAAAATTGGAAAACTCTTTTTGAACTTTCTCAACCAACGGGAAAAAATCTGTTATGTTGTAGTTGTCAGCAGACGCGGTTTTCAGTTTCCTTAGATTTCGCTGCTGCCGGCTATAAACTGGGTCCCGCCATTTATTAGATTTTAAGGAGAACGGAAGTACTTTGGAGTTATTTGGCATAAGGCAGGTGTTACTAATAATATCAGTGTTCTCCGTAGTAGTAACCCTGCCTGACTGAAAATTTGAAGTTGTCTCCTCATCTGCAGATGTAAAATCCAAATAACTGATTGGATCTGTAGAAATGCCACAGGTATATGGGTCAATATCAGAGGGAGTGCTTGGATCAGGAGGAAACTCACAAAAATTACTTTCTATTTGAAAAACACTATCTTGCAATGGTTGGGGCTCAAGTTGAGACAAGGATTGTGGCGGAAAGCTAGAAGAATTATACGGGCTATTTGTATTTTCGGCTCTATTTTCAACAGCTGGTCGAACCACAATATAATTTGGGAATTTGTTTCAACTTGTTGGTCCACACATGGGTTTGAATTTTCATTCATTGGTTTTCTATTCTCATTTAGTGTCAGTTTTTTCCCAGGTTTTTTCGTTAAATCATTGTCTTGGCTTTTATTGGAGAAATTGCCATTTTCGCGCAAATAGGATAATATTGAACATTGGGCACTTTGCTTCTTCTTTTTTTTTTGTAATTTCTGCTAGGTGTGACTTAAAATGTCTGTGATAGTTTGACAGAAGCCAACAACCAGAAGTTGTTTTGAATATTTTGGTTTTAAAAGAACAAATAAAGCATTTTATTATAGAAGTGTTTGACCCTGGCAAAACTTCAGCAGTAATATTGTTTACATTATTAACCAATGTGTTTATTGTTGCATCTGTGTTCTCATCCTCTTTTATATTTCTGAGTAAAAATTCCCGAGTCCATCGAATGGCCTTATCTAAAAGTTCTTCTCGAGGTTCTTCTTGAATGTGCTTCTCCAATCTCTCGTTATTTGGATTACCTCCGGGCTCGCCTCCAGGTTCGTTTTCATCAAACTCATGGAAACTACTCCTATTCTCTATGGAATCATTACGAGGTTCAAGATTACATGAAATAGCTTTCGAAATAGCAGACTTTTCGATTTTTTTTTGGACTATAGGCTGCCTTTTAATTATTGTCGTTTGTGTCCCTTTATCTGAATATGTTTTTTCCGAGGTCTTTCTCAATATTGACGATTTGGTATTTTGTTCTTCACAGAACTTTTTAATTCTACCCAATATTTTTTTTTGTCCTGGTAGTATACAAAATTTGCTAGCATCAACTTTGAAAAACCCTAGGTAATGCTCGGAATTTTGTGGAAACAAGAAATTGATTTGCGTCCTAGCGATTTCCTCTATTTCACTTATATCAGTATTGTCCAAAGGTGCTAAAGAAAGAATATTGTCAAATCCGGTAAACCTCAAAAGATTTTCTAAATAGGGCGGTAGTGACACATTAAATGTTTTTCTAAACTTGACAAACACATCATCATCTTGGTTTTCGCCTGCCGTTCGAACTTGCTCCTGAGCTTCCACCGTGGAACCATTTCCAAGGTTATTTTCTTGGTTATTTTGTAGCATTTTGCTTTATTGCCTAGAGCCAAAAAAGGGTTTTAGTTAGTATTCAATAATGAACAAGTTAACACTATTCTCATAAATAATTGATTTTTTTCTCCTTTCTATAAGACTAAAATCTGGGTTTGAAGATATTGATAATTTCAAAAAATGCAAGGAAAAATAATAATAACATAAACTGCATCAAATGAAACATATTAACGAAAAAAAAACGATAGGTACGAACTCGGGTACGAATGAAGCAACTCCTCCTAAATTGAAGCCGAAACTAAAGCCTGTATCGAAGTGTCGCATCTATGGCCATAGAAAAACAATAATTCTAGGAAATACTAAAGCTTATTCCATCAAGTAAAATTGCAAATTGATTAAACTATTTTTGAACTTCAAAAGTTTAAATTGTTTACCTAACTCGTTGTATAATAATTTATGAGTATATTTAATAACTATGTATATCCATAAAATTATCAGTAAAGGCTCAGTCATTTCAGTCAAAGAGCGAGATTCAATAAATCGTAAAGCTACACCTACTAACTAAATAATTATGATTACTTACCTTTCCAAAATTTAATTTGATCACAAACTTGATCACAAAACATAAAATTACTTAGAGAAAACCAAGAGGAAAAACTACAAGTTACTTCACTGAAATATAATAATATTTAGCGATAATTCTCTGAGCCGACTTGTGCGCACTTGCAAAGAGATTCTTCGGAAATGGGTCGTCTCGAGCTGTTGCATTTTGTGGCAGAAATTTAACGATTTTTTAATGGATTTACATTGATTTACAGGTGATTTATCTTGATTTTTGGGGATTTCTCTTGATTTTTAGAGATTTATCCTGATTTAACTGGATTATTAGTGATTTCTTGTGATTTTTAAAGATTTGTACTGATTTATGCTGATTTTATCTGATTTAAGAAAAAATGAGCTGATTTATTCAAGATTTCAATTGATTTATGCCAGGTTTGTACACCGATTTAGCGGAGTTATCTCCCCCTCGGTCAAAGTGTACAAGTCCAGATATATTTAAAATCCCTGAAAATCTTTTAAAATTTAACAAAACCTCACAAAATCCCTCAAAAATCCCTTGAAATCGCATAAAGTTTTACAAAATTTTATAAGAACCAAAAAAATCAGGCAAAATCTTATTAAATCATTAATATGTATTCCTAAAAAAATTCCTTCAAAATTTCCAAAAATCCTTTGGAATCCTCAAAAATCCGTTAAAATTTCTAAAAATCCTTTAGGATATTTAATGGCCGTTTCCACCAACTATTTTAGGGGAGCTTTAACAATAAGGATTCCTTAAAATGACAGTCTTCTATGGAGAAATTTCAGTCTTCTATGGAGAAAAGTCAGTTTAAAAAATATCTATCGTTGAGGCTCCCCTAAATTAGTTGGTAAAGACGCCATAAAACCCTTTGTAAATTTCCTTAAACGATCCAAAATCACCTAAAATCTCATAAATCTAAAATCTTTCAAAATCACGTGAAGTTTTTCAAAATCCTCAAAATGCTACAAAATTAATAAAAATTTAATTATGTACGCATTTTATGGAGTTAACTAAACTTTGAGCAGTTAGTTGATGAAAATTTGTATACAACTTGATCAAAATCCCAGAAAAACTCGTAAGATCTACTTAAAATCCCTGAAAATCTTTAAAAATGTAACAAAATTTTATTAGAACAAAAAAAATCTGGCAAAATCCTATAAAATTCCCAACATTTCCAAAAATCCCTTGGGATTCCCAAAAATCCCTTAAAATCTCTAAAAATTCTTTTAGGATCTCTAAAAACCTTTCTTACTTCCCTAAAATGAATGCTCCAAAATTACCTAAAATATTTTAAAATCCTATAAGGATTCTCAAAATTTTCAAAATCCTACAAAATCAATGAAGATTTAAAATCTGTGTAGGTACATATTTTAAGCAGTTAACCACCCCTGGGTTTTTCCTAATCGCAGTAAAGGTGATATTTCCGATTACACAGCTACAATTTAATAAATTCCATGTATGAGTATATCCTGTGACTGTTTGCTTTATCCTCCTGATAAGATATAGAAATTATCTTCTCTTTGTAAAACAAAATACATGTATCTCTCTGAAAAGTATTGTATGGCGCCAGTGTAATAGTATAACAGTTCAAGTTTATTTTTAAAAATGTGTTGCACAGAAACTATAACAAGAATTTTAGTGTTTGTAGCAAATTTTGCCTTTCTACTTGTTGGTGTAGCACTTTTGTCAGTTGGAATTCTTTATACCATCCACTTTACCCACTATACAGAAGCTATTCCAGACCAATATCAGGCTATCCAATATGTACCAACTTTAGCCATTGTAGTAGGAAGCATAATATTTTTTATAGCTTTCTTAGGATGTTGTGGAACAATAAGAAGCAGCCCATGCATGCTTACGACGTATGCAAGCATTCTGTTTGTAATATTTCTGCTTCAAGTAGCTTTGGGTGTTTTTGGTTTATTGCAAATTAAAAACAGCAGCGAATTAAAAGTGCAAGTCAGTCAAAGTATAAACAGATTGTTTGCTAAATACAACCAAACCACAGATTATACAGGAGTTATTGATTTAATTCAGCAAAATTTGAAATGTTGTGGTTCTACGGGTTCTACTTCCTGGACAACTGGAGTTCCTGGAAGCTGCTATGATGAAGACAAGAATTTATATGCACAAGGATGTTCTGATGCTATGTATAGTTTTATTAACGGATCTGTAAGGTTAATTGCCATTGTGGCATTGACTATTTCGCTTGTTGAAATTGTGGGCGCTATTTTGGCATTATGTTTGTCTAACTGTATACGAGCCAACAGCAGAAGATCCGGTTACTATTAAATTAGTTAGTATGTATTTTAAACTGTTTGTGTGTTTTTTTTGTAATGAGTGAGTGTGATTTTTCCAAATTTGTAATTAACTACTAAGAATATAAAACTGGTAATAAAAAAATAGAAAAGTATATTATTTCGTCACACAAATTTTTAACACCTTTACAGGCCAGTGGAACTTTTTGCCCCAAAGTCAACTGCTAATATTTACTCAAGGTATTTTCCTGATAACTCTTATCTGAGCAAAATAAAAATTAGTTGTTATTTTGTTACAATAAATAGCGATTTATGACTAATAATCAGCAGATTGATTTATTAGAGAAAAATAAAAAGAAATTTCTACCAAACAACTAGTTATAAAATTTTTCATTCAAATTCATATGGTAGTATAGTAGGTAATTCAATTTATCTTTTACATTGAAATTATCATTTCAAAATACCTTAGTTAAAATTATTAATGGTAGGCAATTGATAATCGCTACTCATAAAAAACTTAGACGACCGGTATTTTCTGACTACTTACCTTGCTTTCATATCCAGTTAAAAATCCCAATTCCTTGGATACATTCAAAACAATATCCCTATTTCCATCGCAGGCCCCCTTGAGAACTTGCACATACTTATCCATAAATTCTTTTGAATATTCTCGACTCGCACCAAAATCCAAAAGCAACAACTGAAATACCAAAATAATATAAATAACTAGAATACAAAAAAAAAGGTCTAAAATACATACCTGTTTTTTAGCCGGATTATACAAAAAATTTGCCCAATTTGGATCAGTTTGCATATACTTAAACCTAAGTATTTCTAAAAGGCACAAATTCATAATTTTATCACCAATGTTTTGTCGATGTTCTAGCTCCATATTGAAACACTGATCTACTGGAAGACCATCTAGCAGTTCGGTGGTGAAAACTTGTTTTGTTGTCAAATCATCTAAACAAATTTCATCCATATACCATCTATTACATACATAATTATATTTATTAAATTATCTCACCAACAACATGTGGTACATAATATCCTTGATAATCTTGTAAAATTGTCCTAAACTTTTTTGTACATTCAGCTTCCCTTAAATAATCAACCTCCCAAGCTAATTCCCTTTTAGCTACCACCATAAGGTTATCTAGAAACATGCCTTTTGGGAAAACGTTCCACATTTTCATTATACCACCTAAGAATAAACTGAATAGTCAAGTTGAAATTAATATTAATATATGATTTCTTACCCAAATTATCAATATCACTCACAATTCCTTTAGCTACACCAGGATATTGGATTTTAATAGCAACTTCTTTTCCATCTGCCAGTTTTCCATAGTGTACTTGGCCTATGGAAGCTGCGGCAAATGGTTTTTGATCGAATTCCACAAATTTTTGTCGCCAACCTGGTCCAAGTTCTGAAGACATCACCTGAACAGAATAATTAGGTCATCTTAAGGTAGGCAACAGAACCTCATAAAGAAATTCATTTGATCTTTCTTCGATGATAGTAAAGTGCTGATAAAGAGGTTTCAAAATAATTTATTTTGTGGAAAGCTTTAGATTCGCATGTGTAGATTTAAAATCCGGAAGCCATTGTAAATTGTAATTGCATTACCTATACAAGTATGTATCTGTCTACAAAATAGTCAAAATCCCTGCACCAATACATAATTTTTAAAATATTTTTTTCACAAACTGGCATTGAGGCCTTAATGATAAACTAGATCTTGCCAAATTTTTGATATGTCATTGGTTGAGGATTTAATTCTAAACAACCTTTAAATGGGACCAAATTTTGTACGTATTACGTTTTGTAAGACATAGCAGTGGATAGATGGACTTTAATTCTGAAAAATATCATCATCATCGCACGTAAAGCATCTGAAAAGATTTCACTGAGGTTCACATTCTCACTATAAGAAATAGTAATATTTATATGGAAATTTTGAAAAAAACCTATGTAGTTTTGTGTTGGACGTTGGATATTCATTTTTATTAAAGAAATCTTCCCAAAATTACACTACATGATTTACAGGTCCAAATTTAAAAAATTCAAAAGAATAAGGAATACAGCTTTTGTAGGCTGATTTTCAAGATTTTTCATGTTGTTATTTTCCACTGGAAAAATTTGAAATTTTGGGAAAATAAGCTTCTCACCTACCCCTTTACATGCAAAAACTTTCAAAATTTTCCCTTCTCTAGTTTTCCAGGAAAACTTCAAAATATGTGAGACTGTATTTTCAACTAATTCAGTTTGTGTAGGTTGATTTCCAAGATTTCTCATGTTGCTGTTTTTCACTGGAAAAATTTGAAATTTTGGGAAAATGAGCTTCTCACCTTCCTCTTTACATGCAAAAAGTTTCAAAATTTTCCCTTTACTAGTTTTCCAGGAAAATTTTGGAATGTGTGAGACTGTATTTTCAACTAATTCAGTTTTTGTAGGTTGATTTCCAAGATTCTTCATGTTGTTGTTTTCTAATGGAAAAATTTTAAATTTTTGGAAAATAAGCTTCCCAGCTTCCTCTTTACATGAAAAAGTTTTAAAATTTTCCCTTCACTATTTTTCCAGGAAAACTTTGAAATATATGAGACTGTATTATCAATTGATTCAGTTATTGTAGGTTGATTTCCAATATTCCTTATGTTGTTATTTTCCACTGGAAAAATTTGAAATTTAGGGAAAATGAGCTTCTCACCTTTCTCTTTACATGCAAAAAGTTTCAAAATTTTCCCTTCTCTAGTTTTCCAGGAAAACTTTGAAATATATGAGACTGTATTTTCAATTAATTCAGTTATTTTAGGTCGATTTCCAATATTCCTTATGTTGTTATTTTCTACTGGAAAAATTAGAAATTCTAGGAAAATGAGCTTCTAACCTTTCTCTCTACATGTAAAAAGTTTGAAATTTCTCCCTTCACTAGTTTTCCAGGGAAACTTTGAATTGTGTGAGACTGTATTAACAATTATTTCAGTTTTTGTAAGTTGATTTCCAAGATTTTTCATGTTGTTATTTTCCTTTGAAAAGATTTTAAATTTTGAGAAAATGGGCTCCTCGCCTTTTTCTTTACGTGCAAAAAGTTTAAAAAATTTCCCTCCACTAGTTTTCCAGGAAAACTTTGAATTGTGAAACAGTATTTTTAATTAATTCAGTTATTGTAGGTTGATTTCCAAGATTCTTCATGTTGTTATTTTCCACTGAAAATTTAAAATTTTGGGAAAATGAGCTTTAACCCTTCCTCTTTACATGCAAAAAGTTTCAAAATTTTCCCTCCACTAGTTTTCCAGGAAAACTTTGAATTGTGTGAGACAGTATTTTTCGAGGTATTTTTTATGAATTCAGTTATTGTAGGTTGATTTCTAAGATTCTTCAGGTTGTTATTTTTCACTGCAAAAATTTGAAATTTTGGGAGAACGAGCTTCTCACCTTCCTTTTCGTATGCAGAAAATTTCAAAATTTTCCCTTTACTAGTTTTCCAGGAAAACTTTGAAATGTGTGAGATTTTATTTTTAATTATTTCAGTTTTTATAGGTTGATTTCCAAGATTCTTCATGTTGATATTTTCCACTGGAAAAAATCGAAATTACGGGAAAATGAGCTTCTAACCTTCTTCTTTACATACAAAAAGTTTCAAATTTTTCTTTTCACTAGTTTTCTAGGAAAACTTTGAAATGTGTTAGACTGTATTTTCAATTAATTCAGTTATTGTAGGTTGATTTCTAAGATTCCTCATGTTGTTATTTTCTACTGAAAAAATTTGAATTGAATTGAATAATTGGATAATTAATAAACATAATAAAAGTGAACATCGCGGGGTTTTTCACCTAACAAAATTTGTACATCGATTAACAGTACTAACTGAGATATTTCTATGTATTAACAGATATTTCTATGTACCTAATAACAAGTTATTGCTAACTATTTCCATGTATTAACAAAATATTTCCACAAATTGCCAGATATTTCCCTAGTATTATCACATATTACCATGTATTGCCATGCTATTGACAGACTAAAATCAAATATTTGTCTTACCAGAATTCTAGTTGTTTAGGTATTGACATATCCTTAGTATGTACATGTTATTAAGGTTTAAAGTCAGGCCTATAGTTTTTTATTACAGCAACGCGAGATGTCAATGCTGTCGCCCCTATAGTGTGCCCTAACTTGACTGTCAAAAAAAAATAGAAATCTTCATTTGGTTAAATTGTATGATGGAACGTTTTTTCTTTTTTTGGCGGAAATTCGAAATATTAATCTGTTTTACATAAACAGGGCTGTGGTTTCGACCAACGCAAATAATTTTGAAAGTTCATCCGTCGAATTTTTTTCTAAACAGTGGCGTATTTCCAACTATTTTTGCAGTAGCGAGAAAACTACAAGTTCAAAAAATTTGAAAAAATAAATGTCGCTTAGAATTGCAATAGTAGTTCGTAATAAAAATAATGGGAAACTTCATGTATTCATTTTGAAATAAATGGTGAAAAACTACTTTTTTTTCAGTTTTTGCGATATAACTCAAAAATGGCAAGTCAAATTTGCTTAAAAAAATTATGGATTAAAGTATATCGATAACCATAAAACATATATTTGTTTTGGAATTTTTGAACACAAGGTTCGGAAAATAGGGGTTGACTTTAAACCTTAATGGGTATCAATCAATGACATTAACATTATTGCCTAGATATCTACAAGTATTGACATATATTACCTACATAATTAACAAGTAGGTATTGCATTGTATTGACACTATTGACATATTATTTATTTGGCATTTGGTATTAACATATATTAACCAGTGATTTGTACACCAATTAACAAGGTGAAAAACCCCTCGGTGAACATTTATTAGTTAGTTCTCACATTGTTTCAGAAGATGTACAGAAGAGGTACAAAATCTCCTTGAAAAGAAATGTGTGGGAATTTTGAGAGCAGTTTGGAGGAATTTGCAGGAAATTTAGAGGAATTTGTGATGGGGTATCTGGAGGAATTTTTAGGAATTATGCGTAAAAAATTCCCCTTTGAGGAATTGTTTGCACAAATTCTGGGATGGTGGTTTACTCCTTGGTAAATTTATATTAGAAGTGCCGAGCGACAGAAAAGCGGTGAGCATTTTTGAGAATAAGAATACTGGCCCAGTTCTCAATTTAAATGATTAACCCAAGGTCCTAGTGAAGCTGCAAAATCTAGCCAATCAACGTCCAAAATCTCAGATCACGCAATCGGAAAACTCTATAGACTTTATGAACGGGCTATACCACACAGAGATTTTTATGTAAATCTAGAATATTTCAGGAACATTGGTACTCCAATGCACTGATTAAAAAATTGGTTAATTTATTCTTGTGAAGTTCCAATCTTAACATGTAAAATTGGAGTAGCAAGAATAAAGGACAAAAAACTAGTGATGTAAACCTTATTTCAATTTTTTAGGCAACATTTCAAGGGAATCCTCATCTTTTCCAAGCTGAAAAATATAGAACACACGTGAATACATTAACATAAGAGAACACTAATTCTTTAACAAAGAATAAACTACACTACGAACTTTAATACAATAACGCATTAAAATATGTCCCTCTTTGGCTGACAAAAGGATATTAGTAGAAATCAGTACTAAATCATTAAAACACATGGTTGAAACTAAACATGGACAACACCAAAATAGTTATTTGTTTTACTAGGCAGAAAAGTACAAGATTTAATGCCGCGGCTGGTGTTTCATAGCCGAGGCTAGGAAACCAGCCGAGGCATTAAATCTGCTTTTCTGCCAAGTAAAACATATAATTTTTTCTCCGAATGGACACACACATGGACATCTTTTTTATATTTATTTCATTCATTATTATCACATTATTATTATCCAAATAATTATATTATTTTGACAATTGTCATTGTCACCATCAATTTCAAATACCAAATTGAGTGAAATTATTACCTAGAACGTTGTGACACTGTCACTTTTAAAGCCTAGGCAGTAAAAGTCCACTTTTACTGCCTAGGCAGTAAAAATACAACTTTTGACCCTGTCAAGTGTCATTAAAAGGCCGGTTTTACTGTCATTCGGAGAAAAATATCTTTAAGAGAACCCTTCTTTTTTTGTTTTTTATATAGGTAATTTTATTTATTTTCTCCTCTAAATTTTCCTTCTCTAAATTAGTATCTATTGAGGATTATTTCAAACTATGTATTGAACTCGGTATTGACATAGTCAAAAAATGCAGCTTCCTAAGTTGTACAGGTATTTGTTTTATTGTTGTCAAATTGGTTGATTGTAAAACAAAGACAAAGCGAGTGTTATGAGCAAATAAAGCACAAAAGATCATCAACATAATTATCTGTATGGAGCAAGAATGATCTAATCTCAGAAACTTTGGTATTGCCGGCAATAGTAACATATGAAAATTATAAGAATGGCAGTGACTGCGTTCTCCAAGGCGTTCCCATACCCAAGAAATAAAATAAAAGTAAACTTTTTATGTTGCTTGATCAAGTTATTATAAATCAATGAGAGATAATACCTTAATCAAGCCAGTGATTTCTACAAACATCTACCTCAACATTGAAAAATTATATAGGTATTCAAAATGGTTAATTTATTTTGTAATTAAACAATCTGACCCAGCAAAAGGCCCACACTCACCTGATCCACTTGCCAATCAGGCATAAAATCAGCAGATTTCCTAACTCTCTCTAATGCAGTTGCCAATTCTGGACTAATTATTGACTCATCTTGAATACTAAGGATTTGGCCTAATTTCAAAGCAGCCCCTCTGACTTTGCACAGAGTATCAACTATTCTTTCCAAATTAGACTTGCTCATGAACAAATTGTTACCATCTGAACTGACATCTCCAAATCCAAATGTTTGCTTGAGATATTCGGTGGCTGTACCTACTCCCAAACCTGCAGCCAGTGAACCAAATGATACCATTCTACCTATTCTACTTGAAGGCACTTTTCTTTGTTTTGCATCATCACTTAGCTTAAGTTTAGCTTTTGGATTGGGTGTAGCTGTAACTTTAGCCTGACTTTCATTCAGGGTTTCACCTACAGTTTTTTCTTGATTTTGCTTTGGCTGGTCAGCCGCCATCACCTTCTCTCTGTCATCCTGTTTTACTAATTTAGCTCTGTGTTCCATATCTAGTTTTTTGAGTAAATTTTTTTCGCTCTCAGATAATGTTATTTGATACTCTGTTATTGGTATAAATGTATCTTGATTCTTAGGCAAAGAGAATTTATTGGCAATGTTTTCAGTAGGTCTAATAGTTTCCAAGACTAAAGGTTTAGCAGCTGATTGTTTAACTATTGCTGGTTCAAGGCGAAGCCCTTGAGATCTTGCTAAAACATAAACAAATTTTATTTAGCCTCTCAGTTCTCACTCAACTCTATAATACTTAATAACAATTAGTAGTTAGAAAAATTATAAATGTTAATTACCATTAGTACCTCATCTTACCATTCCCCAAAGAAATGTCAGCATAAACCTTGAGCCCTTGAAGCACAGTGTTTATCCTTTCCGCCCCATCTTGTACAGTGTTAGCAATTTCTTTCACAGTGACCCTTTCAGGCATGGTTGCACCATCTTTTAAGCATTGTTCAATCAAAGGGCTTAAACTTGATGTCTTGCATATGTGATTTAGGGTGTCCTTTTGCAGTTTGATGTGAGCTTCGGCAATAAGCTGGACAGCTTTAAGAATGCATGCTACGTCCTTACTCGTAGACATTATAAGGTGTTTTTATACTGGGTAGGTGAGTTTAAGTTAAAAAGCGTTAATATTAAAATTAGGGCCAAGAAATAAAGCACTTACAGTGAGTTTTTTCGAAATTTTCCAACAGATGTTTTGTTTACACCCACATAGGAATAGAGATTTCACTTCTGAACAAAATAATTACGTATCGTATATTTCAAATTAAATATTTTTGAATGATTATGTGAATTATAAACAAAATACCAAAAATCCGGATAGGTCAAGATCCAGGATATTCCCATATAGGATGATGATCTATTTTCTTGCTTTGCTTCTACTGTTTCCAAAAATTAAGAATTATGTCACCAGTCACAAATTGAGGTTATGGTTTTTTGTTTACTTGCGTCTTGGGGCGTGTTTGGGTTGACGCTCGGCGGAGCGAGCAGAGCGATTACGGAGTAACGTGACGTCATAGGGGGTACACCGTGTCAAGCCAAATAAACTCGTGCAAAAGTGCTGAGTTGAGCGATCAGCTGATTATTGTTTATTTTTTTAGGATATATTTTTTGGAGTCCGAGCCCGCACTCCGCATTCGCACCAGAGTTTTCTCGTTTATTTTTTGTTTTAGTCGATAATTTTCAAACAGCCCCATTTTCTATTGTGTTCTGCTAAAAATATCGTGCTACATAAACAATAAAATGGACCTAAACACTCTGAGGCTGCCAAGTTCCCTTGGAAAAATATGTCCAATAATGCCAGTAATGATGACTACCGAGAAAATTCAATTAAAAGTAAGCACATTTGATCTGCGCATGCACGCTCCAGCTGCCCACTCCACAAACTCGGAGTTTATCGAGCTCGCTCGGAGCGCTCAAAATATGTCAAACCAAACACAATCAAGCGTTGTCGGAGCTTCAAACATAACGGAAGAGAGACAAAAGTGCACGCTCTGAGTGCACCGATCGTCAACCCAAACAATAGTTGTATTCCTTTCAAGAGCTTGAAACACTAGCTACTCGCTCCGGTATTTAGTCGCCCCCGAATTGCAGGGAACAGATGCGTGGTGCAACAAACACTTTTCGAAAGGAATAAGCGCGTGATGCCCCGGAGCTGTTCCGGAGCTCCTCCCTCGTGTGAAAGGAATACAACTAATGGTGTTGGTGGACCGTCGCCGACGTCATTTTGTCGTTAGCTGTTTGCGCCAGCGGTCGTAGTTTGCTGGGCTGGGTTCGGTGATTGCATCTGCGACTTCTTAGGTGAGTTTGGCTTGGCAAAACGGAGTTGGAACGGATAGAGAGCAGTTTCATAGTCACGTGATTACAGAGTCAAATGAGTAAAATAGTTAAGTCGAACGCATCAGGAAGCAAGGCGAGCCGCCTTCCGCGAACACCGTAGGCGTTTGCGCAAAGATATTCAAGCAAGCACATTTCATTGTTACCAGATAAAAGAATCTAATTCAAAGTAATAGGTAATATAAAAACAAAAATACTTATACTTTTTTCACAGCTTAACCGGAACATGTGTTTTTGCGGATATTCTGGGGAGCGACGCCATTTTTTTTATCAGGAGATGGTGCTTGTAGAGTTAACTCTTTTCACTCTACTTGGCTGAACCCGAACGATGAGGAGGCTTGCACTATTTGCTCCCAGTGGCATGACCCGAACGATTTTGCAGTGAAAAAGGTCAAAGGAGTCAAAAGAGTTGCCAAGCCGAACTCACCTGCGTCACAGATTACTTACTGCGAATTCGTGGTTCAAGATTAATTTGATAGACATAGACTGGCCGCACCAATGGCACGTCAATAATGTATTTTGAACATATTTATTATATAAATGCGCAAGCTCACTAATATAATTTTATTTCTTTAATTGGTTCACAAACAGAAAAAAAATATTTTTTTCTACTCGCAAAAATATGTAAACACACAGGCTGGAACATGCTCACGCACTCGGCCACGTTAATTGTCCTGTCGCGGGCGATCTTAATCTATGCCTCGGGGCGCTGGCGGCCCGGCTTCGTCACAGAATATCGTCGACGACAAGTATACGTACTTTCGCATCTGTATTAGGTGATCTGTGCCTGCGTTGCGTTTAGAAATAGCACTCTGGGAGTGAGAGTGACCCTAGAGTAACTCTAAACCGTTCATAAATTACGAGAGCCGCTTTCGAGTATGGGTGTGATGCTCGGAGCTCAGTGTTGCCGTTGACTGGGTAATTCCCCAAAAACCGGGTATTTTCGACTAGTGTTCGGGTAAAATATTGATGTGGGTATAACCGAGGAATCCGGAATTAGGTACAGCCCTATTCTTTTTTTTTACAGTTTCAACTAATACCTATTTTCCACATTGAAATTGAAAGCGCAACTAGTTTTATTTTGCATGATTTTAGAAAAAAAAAACAAATACATTCAGTTCACACCGACAAATGGAAATCACTATGAGTGATGAGTGCCTATCAGCCACTGATCTCAAAAATAAATGGATAAACAATCGTGCGGCTTGATTGGCTGAACTTGTGCGAAAATTTGGGGTCAATATTCTACGAACAATTGTGCAACGGAACAGCCTAACGCGATGCTAACGCCTGCGCAGTGTCTTATATCAAACAACTGTTCTAAATTTTGAAATATCCTTCATTTTCATTGGCTATATTTTGCGCACGCAGAGCACATGTATTTACTGCGCGTGCGCATGCTCACAGCTGTCTTAGTTGTTTACATTATGAACTCGTAAATTAGCAGTATTACAAGCGTTCTTTGTTTATCCATTTATTTTTGAGATCAGTGCTATCGGTGCTATCAGCGCATCGACATTGACGTTCACGGGCCGTGCCCTAACCTCAAGGAGAATATACACTTCAAGGAGTGCACATCGGCCTCGTTTTTGGTAATCCGTTATATTGGTTTTCAACCATTGTTTACGTCATAACTAAGTCGTCAGCTGTTTAAACAGCCAAGACGAGAAACGCCATGCTGCTTACGTCACAACTGGTTGTTTGGCATGAGGGGGGGATTTGTTACACACAGGCCTTATGAGGATAGGCCATCCTGTAGTAGTAGTGTGTCCGGGTAAAATTGGGTATTTTATGAGATTGGAAAGGGTAATGAGAATTCTCGGTCCGGCAACACTGTCGGAGCTACTCAAAGCGTTGAGCTCCCGAGCTGTACGTACGCGTCAACCTCTCACCTGTCACATCCGTGGGTGGCTATTTATTATTAGGTTTGTTCCAACCTGCAATATTACTGTAATATTATCGTCCGTAACCGCGCTAATGCGACTGCGCAATCAAAAACAGTAATATTATACTAAATAACTTAAAAACTTAATTATAGTCAAATTTTAAATTCAACACTAACAGATGAATCAAGGTCAATTTTGAACAATACAATAATAAATATAAATTTAGAAAAACAAAATTCCAATGAAATAAAAAACCGGCCCCGATATGAAAGAATGTACCATAAACAAGACCCCATTTACCTTATCACAGTTGAAGCGGAAAATAAAAATATCGGCAATTACTCCCAAATTAAAATCGCAAAAGAAATATTTGATCTAAAATTGAATAACATTAAAAAAATTAAAGTATTAGGAAGGAACAAGATAGGCGTAGAATTCTCTAATTATGCCACTGCTAACGATTTTCTTGAAAATGAATCCTTAAAAACAAAGGACTAAAAGCCTCTATACCTTATAATTACACATCATGTAAGGGCGTAGTTCGTTCAATCGACATCGACCTTGACCCAGAAACCCCGAAAAGAGACCTACTCATAAACTCATCAGCAAGCTCCGAAAGCATTAGAATAATGTCACCCGATTGAATAGAAGAGTCCAGAAAACCATGAACCTACACCGAAGGCCTAACAGCACAACACAAAAACAACCCAACGAATACGAATACGCCCCCACTTACTCCATTCTAGTCACTTTTGATGGCACCATTCTGCCCAGGTACATAAGCTTATATAATCTCGAAATCCCAGTTGTACCCTACATTCCCAGGGTTACTCAGTGCTATAATTGCTTCTTGTATGGCCACACCAAAAAGTTATGCAAAGGAAAGCAAAGATGCTTCCAATGCGCTGAAACAATCAACTTACAACAAGACAACTCGATACACGAAAGCTGCACAACAAAGTGCTTTCACTGCAAATCAGAAAACCACAAATCAAACGACAAAAAATGCCCAGAATATGCCAGACAACAAAACATTAAAAAAACCATGATATTCGAAAACATATCATTCTATGAAGCTTCGGGCCAATGTCCCAAAACAAACCAAGGCGTGAATCAAAACCCACAACAAAGCAAATACATTCTAGACCCCAGAGACTTCCCAGCCCCAAGAATGAGAACGGCAACCGAGGAAAATAAAATACAAATAAATGAAAGAAGAGTCATCACCCAAAACAATAACAATCAAAACAACAAGCGAACATATCAACAGGTCCTCCAAAATGCCCCTAAAAAAAGAATTACTCAGCAAGGCTATGACAGAGAAAATCACAACCAACAACTAATCTTCCCCAATTCCAGACCTGAAAAATTCCTAGCAAAACATAATAATCAAGAAAGACCAATGAGAGATATTCAACAACCTTCTACCTCCAGATTCCAAAACGAAGAATACCTACGGTAATTTTTGGGCTCTCGGGAACGGGCTATAAGGCGTTTTCTGATCAAGTTCATTTTTGGTACACATAGGTATATAGGACGTCAAAAGAAATTTTTCCAAAAAAAATTTGACCTTGACTGTGACCTTGATCCTGACCTTGACCATCAAATTCACGTAAATGGCAGTTTAACGTGCTGAAAACTTGTATAGTGTTGAAAGGCATCTCAAGTAACCTATATACCGAGTTTTAGCCTTCAAGGTCATACACATTCAGAGATACGGCCACTCCGCATTTTCAGTTTGGGCTCTCGGGAACAGGGTAGAAGGCGTAGTCCGATTGAATTCATTTTTGGTATACATATTTAGGCCTTAAAAGGTAACAGTTCAATAAAGGTCCTTCAAAAAAAATATCATGTTTCTCCATTATAGATAGTTTGGTTTGATCCCAAAATATTATTTTATGATCGAAAATGTTGGCGCAAATAATAACTATAAATTGGATTTTATAAATATTGAATGAATCCTCTTCTCGACCTTTGACACAGATCAATATATAATATCTATTCTTATCAGCTTAATATCACAATCGCTCTGTTTAGCAGATAAAAATTTAATAAACGTAAAAAGCGTCATGTGGTAGATATTCGAATGAAGAGAAGAGCAAAGTACTCAAACCAATTTTTGAAAAAAACATTATTGAATAATGATAAAGCGTATAATATCTACTGAACTTTTGAAATTGGTACACTTTAACCGACAATAACTGTGCTATATCGAAACTGATCAAAAATATGCAAACTAGCCCGAACTTACCCGTCTTTGTACTGCGTGCTAGTCCCCGTAAACCTATCTAATCGAGAATTACAAAATACTGCAAAACAACCCAAATTAACCCATTCTTGAAATGCATGCTAGTATCCTTGAACATTTTTATTTTATCTAGCTTGTCGCGCTTGGTTGTCGTTGTTAATCAGTACACTGTATCCAGTTTTAGATAAGTAATTAATATTCAAAATCATGATGTTTCCTATTAAAAGTGTCCACCCTGTACATAATTTCAGCACGATAAATAGATATTTACGTGAATTTCACTGGTGAAGGTCACGGTCAAGTTCACGGCCAACGGCCAAGATCAATTTTTTTTGGGGAAATTTCTTTCATCGGCCGGAACTCGATTGGACTACGCCTTCTAGCCCATTCCCGAGAGCCCAAACTGAGAATGCGGAGTTGCCGTATCTCTGAATATGTATGACCTTGAAGGCTAAAACTCGGTGTGTGGGTTATTTATGATGCTCTTCGGCGCTATACATAATTTCAGCACGATAAATTGATATTTATGTGAATTTCACTGGTCAAGGTCACGGTCAAGGTCGCGGCTAAGGTCAATTTTTTCTTGAAAATTTTCTTTCAGCGGCCTTTATATGTATACCAAAAATGAACTCATTCGGAGTATGCGTTCTACTCCGTTCCCGAGAGCCCTAATCATACCTCAAATACAATAATAATTGTACAATTAAAGGCTGGCAAATTAGTACTTCTCAAACGTTTCTATAGGCGTTTTCTCGCGTCTCAAATATTTCAAAACATTTTTCAAAACTGGTTTAAGTAATGTTACCATGACGTCATAATTTCTCGGCGCGGGAAAATGGTTTGACAACGTGGATTGGATTGTATTTCGAAACGGTTTTGAACAAATTTTGAAGTGACGTCATGCGTTTATCGCGAGAATGTACTGTTTCAAAACAGTTTTGAACCAGTTTCAAAAAAGTGGACGCGAGAAAACGCCTCTAAACTTTTCCGCCACATATTTGTCATATTTACGTTTAAAAATAAACAAAAATAGAAACATAACCAAAATTGCACAGTTTGACAAGTGGAACCAATCAAAGTCATTCCACACAGGTATCGCGCGTCATTATATGTGTGTCTTTCTTTATTACAGAAATTTTAATAAACCATCCTTGTTATTCATTGCATGAGAAAGGTCCATAGGCTATTACTCTCTATTATGTTGACAAAACAATGTAAAGTCAATGTTCTCAAATTTTTTATGTAGAAATAAGAAAAGGCTTGTGTTGTGTGTTGTGTGTTGCCAACATATAGTTACTAAATTTTTGACTTGGGGATATATCTCTGAAAACAGACTTTTTGGTAAACCAAATAAAAGTCGTGACTGCCAAAACGAATTCAAAATTCAAAATATCAAGAAATTAATTTGGCATGTTGCATTTTTTAGAGTAGTGTTACCAACAACTGAATCGCCAGCGAGAAATTCAAATTCCAATTAACCAAATTTTGACGGACGTACGTCACGTGATCACATCTTTTTTCACGTGACATCTGTCTTTTCAAGATGGCGTGGCGGCCAAGCATATCAATCCGCGTGTGGCTAAATGCAGGTGGTGTAGGCACCGTGATGGAATTGTAGAAAAAGCAGGGTTGATGAATTTAAACAAAACAGGGATTAGGAAGCTGTGGTTTGGCATTGGCATTAGTGAATCGTGATCCGTAATCACCGCGTCCGTGGCGGTGCAACACTTTGGTGAATTTAGCCACACGCGGAATCCATGTGTGGCCTAATTCAGTGTATACAGCATAGATATACACAAACACTTCTAAAGTCCGACAAATACCATTTTAAAGTCACGTGATATTAGTGGCAAAAAAACGTAGGTCCTGTTCACAATCCGATGTCCACAGGTGCAGGTAAATTTATCACCTTTCCCTATCAAATTAGGCAATTTAATCCATCTGTCAAAAAGGATAATTCAACATGGCGTGGCGGCCAAGCAAGCTTGTTTTGAATATTTTTTTATGTGTATTTTAAATTATTTTGCTTAGAGTTCTGCTTGTAACTTTGATTTTGATTATTTAATACGATATTTGTTGACTAGGTACCTAAACTATTAAATCGGGCAGAAACTAGATATTTTTTTGTGTTTTTTGGCCCATGTGTGGCCGCCACGCCATCTTGAA